AGAGTGGTGAGTGGTAAGTGGTGAGTATCGAACCATAATCGCCGGAATCTAACCGTCAAAGATATTTCTTTGATACTGACCAAATGCAAATTCGAAAAGTGTAGATCTCATTTCCTTTCTCCAACGAAAGTGCGATTCTTAACCGGGTTAGCGAAAACTAACCCGGTTAGCTGATCGCTCCGTTACTTCTACAGCCACTGATAGGTCTCCAGAACAAATATATTGAATTTAAGATGTGTAAATTTGAAGTAAAATGTTTTTTTTTTTAAACACAACCAGAAAAAAAGAAAAAAGAATTATAGATAATTATAACCTCCAAGAGGTTCAATGTTGGCTTCAAAGACATTCCAAATTTCGAGAGAGCTTCTTTCGAAATCAGACATCTTCCTCGAGTAAACTGTAAGACAAATCCAATCTCACGGGTACATATAAATTAAACAAATCCTAATTAAATATACAAACAAGCATGTATATATATTAAACAAAGCCTAATTAAATAACTAAGAAACCACTAACGGGCAATCAAATTGGCCTTGTTTTGTTGGAGCCTATAGCTTCTCGCTAAACCTCGTGTGATCACTTTAAAGGCCTTTGAGCAGAGCTTTCCGATAAGGCGATGAAACCCTGGAGGAAGCTTTGTCTTTATTAGGGTTAGGATTCTGCGGAACCTTTGCGTCGACCTTGAATTTGGTCCTGATGGGAGGGATCTTCTGCGATATGCTACGATCGAAGGACTGGATGATGTAGTGGGAGGATAGGACGAGACCGCATTCTTTGCAGATTGTATCTCCAGATCGATAATCGATCACTGTATCGGTTAGTTTCTTGCATTCCAAGCAAGTAATTACTTCCATTGTGACTGTACAAATACCCTGTGGCGTGAGATGATGGGCTTTGTGGGGTTTATATACATGAGAAGGAGATGTGAGAGACAAAAATTGTTCTTTTCCTGATAGGATTTGGTTTTGTTCTCTTTGATGGTCTTAATTTAATAAATTGAAACTAAGTAACATTTTAAGATTTGACTATTTAATTACCTAAAGTTTCCACCGCAAGAAAAACAGTTTTAGCGTCGAAATTTTGCGTCGGATTTGTGTCGACGCAAAATTAGCGACGATTTTGCGTCGTCTTTGTGTCGTTCAAACCATTCGACGCAAAATTGAGATGAAAAATATCGACGCTAAATCGATGCAATTTAGCGTCGATTTAGCATCCATATCATTAATTCGACGCTAAATCGACGTTAATTTAGCGTCGGCTCAATAGCGTCGGTTATAGCATCGAATATTCCGTTGAACTGGGTAGGTAGGTGGCACATTTTTAATGGGTTCACCTACTTCTATACCGTCGCCTAAAACCGACGCTAATACGAAGCAAAGTCGACGCAAAATAATTCGATGCTAAATTGCGATGCAAATTCGACGCTAATATAGCGTCGATTTAGCATCGGTTCCGTATTATGTCGATGCTAAGTCGACGCTAATTTTGCGTCATTTTAGCATCGACTTAGCATCGAAATGTAGCATCGAGTTAGCGTCGAAGGTAATCCGACGCTAAATTAGCGTCGAATTAGCATCGAATTAAGTTTAGCGTCGACAGTTTAGCGTCGAAATGTCATTCGACGCAAAAACGACGCTAAAGGACTTTAGCGTCGATTTAGCATCGAATTTTGCCGACGCTAAAACTGTGTTTTCTTGTAGTGTTCTAATTAAATTTAATTTTCAATAAGCACAAAGACAAGAACTATGAATCAACTTTTAAGGAACAAGACAATGTTAAAGAGAAGCAGGTAAGTTAATGAGGATCCTTACCAATGAGTTTTTGGATTTAAGAAGGACCTTTGGGACGTTAGGATCCCATTCAATCTTATTCTTGGGTCCAACAATTATACCAGGTAAGTCTCTAAAGTTCGCTCCCTGTAGTACCAAAAGTTGTGTTGCCAAGATAAGTAATTAATAACCCT